GGATCAGCATCGGCTCGGATCCTAGGTTTAAATCAAATTCAAAATTAGATTCAAAAGGATGGATCAAGATCGGCTCGGATCCTAGGTTTGCATTAACATTAACAGGAAAGATCAGGATCGGGGAAGCTTGGCTTTTAAATGCCGCGCCTTTAAACGTAAAAGGTCTTGCTGTCTGCTGTTTTAGGGCCCCCCGATTTGACGGATAATTGAGACCCCCCAAAACATTCGTATTATTGAGGCCTTGGGCAGCTGCTGGACTACCCCTTAGGAAAAATGATTGCCAGGCCTCATCGAATTCGCAGTCTCATAAGAAATCGATAGCTTTGAACCTGGCCTGGAACCTTACAATCCGGAGTTATGAGGTTTGAAATTCTGGAATCTTGAGGTCCTGGAAGCTTGGCTTTTTAATGATGGTCTGCTATTTTTAGGGTCGCCCGATTTGACGGATAATTGAGGCCCCCCAAAACATTCATATTATTGAGGCCCTGGGCAGCTGCCGGACTACCCCTTAGGAAAAATGATTGCTAGGCCTCCTCGAATAAGCGGTCTCACACAAAAAATCGATAGTTTTGAACCTGGCTTGGAACCTTACAGTCCGGAGTTATGAGGTTTGAAATTCTGGAAACTTGAGGTCCTGGAGGCTTGGCTTTAAAATGCTGACCCTTTAAATGTAAAAGGGTTTTGCTTTCTGCTATTTTTAGGGCCCCCCGATTTGACGGATAAGTGAGACCCCCCAAAACATTCATATTATTTAGGCCCCGGGCAGCTGCTGGACTACCCTTAGGAAAAATGATTGCTAGGCCTCCTCGAATAAGCGGTCTCATAACAAATCGGTAGTTTTGAACCTGGCTTGGAACCTTGCAATCCGGAGTTATACGGTCTGAAATTCCGGAAACTTGAGGTTCTGGAAGCTCTGGACAACGGGTTGCAGTCAAAGTAACAAAATGCAGCTGGGATTAGGACTTTCATCTAAATACTTACTGCTTGCCATGCTTTTCTAAGCAAATTAGGCTTATTTATTCTGTCTACTTATTCTCATCTTTTTTGGGCCTCGCAACTTCGCACAATTAAGGCCCCCCAAGCGAATCAGAGGGGGTTCAATAATTTCGGCGAAGCTTCGCACCATTAAGGCTCCCCACACTAATCGGGATCCAACATTATATTGCAAGCGTGCCTTTCCAGTCTGTTGGAAATCGATCAATTCCAAAATCCCATGAGGCGCAGTTGTGGTTGACTTTCCCAAAGCAGTGGATGTACCCATGAATTCTTTTTCACTGCGCAGCTGGCCACGGAAACAAATAGGGCTGTACGAGACAGCAGCCATGGTTACTGCAGCATCCTAACATCACCTTTTTTTTTGGTGATCACACAGTGCGCGGAAGAAAGTGCGAAACATAAACGTGGTCTCACGTTGCGTTTGTCCTTGATGGTGTTGGCAAGACAGTGACAACTTGCATGAATGGCTTTGAGGTCGCAACTGGTCCTACTTCCTATCTATAACACCTTTCAGCTTGACAGTGGGCAACCCCTCGTCATTGGAAACGAGTATGAAGATTCTTATGAGATCCGAATGGGATTCAATGGCAAGATCGGCAATTTCCGTTTGATGGCTCATGCTCGGTCCCAGATTGACGTGGACAAGAGCGCTTTCGGAAGCAACTGTGAAGGTGCTGTTTTGTGCCAATCTCGATCTCGAGGTTATGAAACAACGGACAGGTGTGGTGCCCTCACTCCTCCTGGCCCAGCTGTGTCAACGGGTGGAGTTGTGGTCTTCACCCAGAAGCTGCGGATGTTGCTTGAACCCCCAATGACAACCGCTTGAGTCTGCCATGGAGAAGCACCATCCCGACTGCACACATATGACGGATCATTCATTCACGTCCCTCTACTGCGAATTGGCTTCCCATGGTTTCTTGTCTGAGGGCTTCTGCTCGCGCATGGTACAAATGCTTCACCCTCCGGCCTCTTAGGCCGTACGGATTTGGCCTCTTGTGCCAAGAAGTGGTGAGTTGTGCCTTGGCGTTTGACTCATGAAGTGGCGGCGTGATGGCGTGCTCCAGACTCCAGACCATTGCGGACGCCTGGGGACGTGTTGGAAGTTGCTGAAGGCTCCGGCCAACTTGGATGTGAAGACCCCATGGGCCATGGCTCCTCCAGCGACCTTTGACGAATGAAACCCTTTTGGGACAACTTGAGCCGAAAAAAGCGCCGCCTCGTGCTTTGCATCTAGTGCTCAGAGCCATGTTTTGATGCTGAGAGCCACTATCCTCTCTGAACTGTTTGTTGCCTCGTTCATCTGCACTATTGGGTTTTGAGCTGACAGTAGATGTGCTCACCTTGCAGCCTTGCAACGCTCACAGGCGCCATCCGCCGGGATGCCAACATCCACTCAACCTCCCAGCTGAACATCCACTGTGCAGGTTTGGTTGAGGGTGCTTTTCATTACCACGCAGCGTCACCCTTTGCAATGTCTGACGTCAGCTCATGGCCTCTACGCGGCCACCATCGGCAACAGAGCCACAGCCTCGGGCACGCGGGATCAGCTCATATTAGCTTCTCACATCTGAACTTGCTTCTAACTCCAGGAAATGGTCACAGGTCATTGGCCTTGCGGGCAGTGCAGTTACAACAGTATGCAAAAATCGCCCAAGCTGCTTTGCAGGAAAGGCACTGGGTGTGGCAGTGTGGCACGATAAGATAAGCGCAAGGAAGCGGCACGCAGGTCCAAGAAGCTTTTAACAAGGAAACGAAGAAGACAGATACCGCTTGCACCGCTCACCCGCCTGCGCAAGCCTCTACCGCCAGTTGCAACTGCAAGTAGAGGCAAAGTTCATCAGGCAAACCCTGCATGTCAACGCTGTGCCAAACAACGTTCTGAACAGGATGAGATTTTTTGGCCTAACGGGTGTAGCAAGAGCCCCCTCGTTGACAACAGACTATTTTGCGGGGTTGAATCATTATGGCACAGAAGTTCTGAAGTGAAGCTGAAGCGAATTCGCAGGTGGCGATCAAGATTGGGACGAACGATTGGAGCCCTGGCGGCGGATGGAAAGCCTGACGCTTTGACGCTTCTTGGATTTTGCGTGGTGGATGTATCCACAGCTCAGGTGGGCTGCTTTGGTGCAGAGTTTTGCGTATGGACAAAGTGAATGCGAAAGCGATTTCGCCGTGGATTTTTCAAGGAACGACAGAGCAAAGTTCTTGCGCGGTTTCCAGTTTCCGCATCTTGCTAAGAGGCTTCACGTGAAGTTCAAGCTGGATGTGCCTAGTGCTCAGAGTGAGGACAAAGCCGCAAGCAGCCGCAAGCAGCATCTTCTGCCTTCAGAGGCTTGGAGACTCCCTGCGTCCCCAGCATCGGTTAAACGGTAATGCACGGCACCTAAAGAGGTGCCAAACTTCTCACCTTTAGCTTTCGCTTGAGACGCTGTCCGACAGCAGTTTCACGTTCCCGGCTCCCTCAAGTGGAGGGAGCTCGTCAATTGTTTAGAGCGAGTGCGCAAAGGTGTTTAGAAATGATGGAGTTTGAAGCATGCTGGCATGGAGTTGGTTTGCGGTTACTGCACTGGGTTGCCCCCTTGGAAAGGCCAGGAAAGCCTCCAAGACGCCTCCAAGAGAAAAATGGCCACGTGCCGCCCCCGAGGTGGGTTGGTAGGTTATGCGGGTTGCTGTTGCTTACGGAGTTGCTTTGCATTGGCTTTGCAGCTTGGCTTTGCAGCTTGGCACGTTGGGCCCGTGAACAACTTTGGAGGCTCCCACGTGCGACTGGCAGGGCTGCTGGCCTTGTCTGTTGCTTTGCAGGTGCGGTCTCGCAGTTCAAAGATTAGGAAAGCGAATTCATGCTTGGAAGGCGGCACGTTGGCTCCGAGGCTGCAAAGGCCCATTTTGTCCCACATCCTTCGCACATGGCAAGGTGTTTTGCCTTTGATCCTTCCCAGGGCGTCCCCAGTTGCAGGGGATACAACCCGGAGTCGGCTTCGTGCAAGGCATTCGGATGAAGGCTAGTGCCAGAGTGCCGGCGATGCGACCTTTAAATGCGCAGGCAAGACATCGACTTGCTTGCGCTGTTCGCGGGTGCGCCCAGCACGGCGCTGGGCACGTCGCCTGGAGCGGCGCCTGGCACCTGCCAGCCAGGACGTTGAGACAAGACATGCGGCCATGCGCCGGCCATGAAGTGCATGGCCTGCGTTTTTGAAGGATTGGGTCGCAAGGGCCTTGCCTGCCCCAGCGCTGGAAGGCTGTTTCCAGACGTCAGCCTGTCAGTCTTGGTGCAAAACGTCTTCAGGCCGGCTGCAGTTGCTGAAGCTGCCAACGCGGTTCATAGGTGCAAGCCTATTCAGAGGCAGATTACATTAGAAGACACCTTTGAACCGAGGTGGTGCCTATTTCCTGCTCATGCTCTCGATTCCCCCAACGGATGTTGGGACCACAGCTTTCCTGAAAAGTGATCGGACAGGCTGTTGACTTCCAAGGCTTTCAGAGCCCGTGAGACCAGCAACTTTCCCAGGCGGGCCTTGTTCAGAATCTCAGAACTGCTGTCTACTGTGGCGACATGCCGTGACAGTGAACTGTCAGGACAAACCTCACTCTGTTGTTAGACTCAGGCTCATGCCGCAGCTGGCGCAGGATGCAGGAAGATGCAGAGTTGGTGGAAGTTTCGGATTTTTTGAGGTCTCACCGCAGCCGTGATGTTGACCACGGACGCAGGGGACTGAGGCAAAAGGAAGCTTTCGAAGCCTTTTTGGGGGCCTTCGCCCCGGCTGCTTTTGAGTTGGCATGCTTCGTTCTTTCGAGGTTTGCAAGAGCTTGAAGTTGGCTATGGGAGGTCCGGCTCTTGGCCAAGAGATGCCAACAAGTGTTGGCTTGACACCTGTGGCAACCCGGAGCAGTGCAAAGCATCAAGACAGGGCCCGAGTTGACATGTGTGCACATGCGTAATGCCCATGTTATGTTGTCCCTTGTCCTCTCGCCTAAGAAGCAATGTTTTGGTGACATTAAAAACCCCCTCCAGAACTTGTTTGCGATTTAGGCTTACGGAAGGGGGTGAAGGGGGGTCGTAATAAAGTTAGCAGAACCCTTGCCC